AGATACCATAAAAATGCTTTATACCGAGGTAATAAGGAGATACGTAACAGCGTTGCGAACTAATGAAATTACGCACTTAATCGCGATGGGTTTCTCGAAAGGCAGAACGTTTGGTTCTGTCGGGAGAAGATGTACCGCCGGTTTCGGCTCGGTAAGTTTTTCCATGTTGGATTTGCGCGTAACGGCAATGTTGAAAGTGTATAATGTTCGTGTTGGAAGTAATCGTAGGGGTACTACTGCTATGGTGGTCGATCGTGGCGGCGGGTGAAGGAAACGTGGTCCGCAACGAGGACATCTGCGGCCTTCAGAATGGCCGACGATTGTACCTGGAGCTGGGCGAAAAGGGTATTCTCTACGCGAGGAACGTCTCGTTCGTGAAGAATGAACCACGGCAGGCGGAGAATTCGCGCGTTTATACTAGCAACAGCTCTCACGCTCAATGTAGCCTCGAATTGGTCACATGTCCGTCTTGCGTGATAATCGTCACCTTCCAAACTATCGCATTATCGCATCACTGCGGCGACGGCAGCGTCACGATGGATAGCCCATGCAGGTATGTATGAATGATTAGATGGCACGAGCGATCGAACGAACGAGAATGCATTCCGGTTTCCATTTTTCGATTTACCGTCTGATTTCACAGATGTGACTACGTTTGGATCTCGGAGCCGCCGTACGAGGACGTATCGGGAACTCCCTTTTGCGGCTTGTACGCGCCGATCACGTACAGATCGAGCACGAGAACCTTGTCGATCACTCTGTTTTACAGTCAATCGCATAAGCATGCGTTCACGCTCGAGTACACGGCGGAGCGTAAGTGTTTAGGAGTTAGGAAACGAGAAACCGATTCGAGGCTTAAATGTAAATCGACTTTGATCGTTTTCAGGAAATAGATTGCACCTAAGGGGAACGAAACTGACGGCGACCGGTCAAGCGGCGAAAGGGTTGAATAACACTGGTGGTGGTATTTTAACGTCGCCGTTTTTCCCTGCTCGATATCCCCGTGATTTGGGCTTGGAGTACGTGGTCACGTGCCCGAGCGAAGCTCCATCCTGTCGCATCAGACTGTTGTTCAGCGACTTTCAGTTGGCGACTGTGTCGATAATGGAGGTAAAAGAAGAAACAGAATTAGAGGCTAATCTATATTGTATATCCGTACGTTTGCATCATGATATGCACGAACATATGTGTGTGCAGTTCTACGATTGGAACGGGCAACGATTGGATGTAAGCAGTGGTGCAAGGTTTCGTCCGCCGGTGATCATGAGCTCTGGCCCGTCGTTACTGATACGATTCTACGCGAACGGTGGTACCGGGTTGGGCTACAAGGCTTTCTATTCGTTCGTGATCGGGCATCCGTTGGATAAATCCGTGCAACCGATAACCGACTGTGGCGGCTACGTGGAGAACCTTGGCGGTGCGATCACTATGATGGATATGGTCGACGAGGGAGTAAAAACGTACGACTGTGTCTGGCTGATACGACCGCCGAAAAACTTTTTACACATGAAGACGCACATGTACCTGAAGGTGGTGACATTCACGGACATGGGTGAGCGAGAGAACAAACGAACGAAACGATTAACTGACAGGCGGAAATGCCGGAAAATGATTCATTTTGTGTTCTCGGGTAATACGATTCAGCCGGCAACACCGAACTAATCGTTAAACAAGGACCCACCTCGGCTCTTTTGCCACTCGAGATTCTGAGGCATCCGGCGAGTCAAGTGCAACCACCGAGACACAGGGAACACGTGGCTCCCGTGACCAGTGGATTTCACGTCAGCCTTCGGGGAACGTTCGGCTCGTCCTCCCATCTGGCGATTGCCTACGCTGCCTTTAGCTACATGGGTGAGCGTTGCCTTCCTATTTTCGATTGGTAGCGACACGCGGTAGTTGTATAAAGTATATACAATAGCTGGTTTCTTCTCGCGAACGTTCGCAGACTGCTTTGCGGGTTCCGACTTTCTTTGCCGCAACCACAGATGCATACCGAATCAATTGAATTGTGATGGCTTCGATCACTGTGGAGACAACAGCGACGAACCAGCGACCTGTTTCCAAGGTAGAGTCTCGGTATACGTATCACGTAGTAGTCAGTTTTCTCACTATTGGCGAACTATATCGCATAGATTGGGAGTTGGAGCCTCAAGACCGAAAGTGGCACGTGAACAAGGCGAATTATTACTTTCCGAAAATCGATCGGTATCCAGACTTGAAGACGGCCACTTTAGTGTTCGTCGCGAGTAGCCTCGGTTTGATCGTTCTGATATCGGCTTTGATCATCCTGCTGTACAGAATGGGCGCCAGGGCGAGGCAACAGCGAGAACTACAATCGAGATTGCAAACGATCAGCGAGCTCCTAGGTACATAGGTAGAACGACATTCGTCGTCGATTTCTCACCGTCACTTTGGACAGTGTTCGATATTGCAGACGGAGCGCGAATCGACGAGATATCGGTATCGGACGACCCACCGGTATACGAGGCGCCACCCGGCTATGACGAGGTGGTCAAATTCGGCCTTGACTCGGAGATCGTTGCCCGGAAGAAGAGAAGAGGGTTTGGTCGAGAATCGCGCAGTAGAAATTCTCCCTGTCAGAGTTGCTCGTGAGTAGAGCAGTTGAAAGATCTCAGTCTCCGTGTTCAGTGATACATATAAACTTCATGATGACGTTAAGTGTGGAAGCCGGCCGATCCTCTATCTGCTCGATCACGGAGACGGCGGGCACCAGCCGTGGGAGTAGTCGGGCGACACCGATCCCTGGCCAAGACGCGGCGACGGCAGGTCCACAGAATCGAACGGCACGTGTGCCTGAGAGCCCACCGCCTCCGTACGTCACTCCTCCCGGGTCAATATCACGAAACTTCACCGTGCCTGGATTAACCACCGCCTCGTATAGCGGACGTGAGTATATCCCTAGGATGAATTGATGTTTGTTGTGTGCAAAACGCTGTGAAGGGATTGACATTTATGTTTCTATCACGATGTTTTGTCAGGCGAACGGAAGGAGGATGGCCACGGCGGTGGCGACGGTGACGACGGCGGTGACGGTGACGACAGAGACGAGAACGAGAACGAGGAGAATGACGGACAGGAGGTGGAGCAGTCGACGGAGGAAGGGCTGGAGGATGGAACATTGCGGCGGGATTGGTTTCGTCGAAGCGGTGGACAGTTTTCGTTGCCCCTGACAGGGAACAGCGAAGCTGCAACGAGTACAGACACACTGCAACGGACCTCGCATTCAGTCGGCGCAGAACTTTTCGGTGCGTATTCGTGGAATCGCGACGACGCTACCAGTTCCATAAGAACGGCCGACGACGCCTGCTGTGATTCGCAGCGGAGGATCTCACGCGTTGCTTCGACCGTGTCGGTGTCGGATTACGGAGACCAAGGAGACGACATAGGAGGAAAGTCCGAGAAGCGAGTCAGAGAACTGACCGAGGGACGACGAGGAGCCGAAACGTCGGAGTCCGAAGAGCACGGCGGGGGCAACGTTAAGTCGGAGGACGTTTCTGTATGTTCTTGCGAGGGAGCCTGCGGCTGCGCTACCGTTCATCCAATTTCATTTCTCAAGAAGCGAACCTTCTCTGGCCGTCTCTGGCCACCTCGTCGTATGTCCGTGGAGCGGGATAGGTGGCTGGAAGGTAAAAGGGAAGAAGAGCGACGACGATGGGAACAACAGGAGGAGGCGGAAGGGGAGGAGGAAGAAGAGGAAGGAGGAGAAGTGGAAGGAAGCTCGGGGCGATCGACAAGCACGATCGTTAGGCTGCTGAGCGGTACGAAAGGAGGGAAATGGCACAACGTAGGAAACGGAGGCGGAGGTTCGACTGTCACGTCTACGGCAAGTTCAACGCCATGCGGTACCCTTCGAAGATCCGTGAGGAAATTTTCGGTTTGCTCGCGCGAGGCTTGTTTCGGTAGAACGTCCACATCGATCAGATCCATCAGCAGCTACGAGAAGTTGAGCAACGGCGAGTTCGATGTGGGGCGCAACAGCTTGCACGCTTCCGATCCGTCTACAATAGGCACATGCGGTGAACGACGAGGATACCGACGATATTCGAGCTGCGACGTGGAAAGTCTTTGCGAAGGAATCAGGATTTTGGATGGATTTTTAGCGCGTAGAGGATTGGCGGTAGCACACACTCGCAAACAGTCGGTGACGGTGATGCTGTTCGGCACCCCGGCGCACGGAGCGATTTGTGGCGGATTGGAAGAAGAGAGGGTTCGCGAGGTCGCGCGCGTTTCGCGATTCAGCTTGGACACCTTGTCGTCCAACTGATCGATTCTACTTTCGAATAGGCGCGGATATAGGAGAAAATGACAAAGAGTTCCGATATTTTATTTGAAAAATCGTTTATTTCTCTGATACTGGTAGTGAGGCACACGGTGTCGCTTCGTAACCGGCGCACGCGCGCACCGAGTTCTTGACACGGTATTTTCGTTGCGTAATCATATCTCTCGGTGTAAGTAAATGACGTTCAAATAGACGTAGTAAAATATATGTATGTATGTATCTCTGTGCATGGGCATGCACATACACGCCTAAGGTCAGCGGAACATATATAGCGTGTTCGTAAATTAAAATATCAAGTGGCAGCAGAAGCTTGATCCAGCAACACACAGCCAACACCGCATACGGCATTCTGTGTTAGGGTTCGTACGATAAAAGGACAAGTGATAACTAGCGGTATTTCATGTACTAGCAGGCAAATTAAAAATGCTGCTAATTAATATTTTAAATATTTGAAGTTTCTTTCTATGCCTGATGTATCATAAACCTATGTGACCAATGCAGATCAATTGGCTAGCCGAATTTGAAAAAGGTGGAACTGATGCAAAATGAAGTAAGCAACATGAACGGTAATCATTGGAAGAAAGCAGTGGATAAAGTAATCAAAATTAAAGGAGAACACAGGTAAAAAAGAAGACCATTATACGGGTCTGACTGAGGGAGGGTTCGAATTCTGAACTTCTCATATTCTGTTTGTTAGAATAATCGAAACATGATTACTTTTGACTGCTGACCGGTTTTACGAGCGCGCTATATTTGTTCCACGTAGTATATACATAGTTTTTGTCAGTTTACGTAGCCGTGAGTGTGTACGATACCTGTACGAAGATTCAGTCGGCGTTAACGTTTAGCGAATAAGAACGCTCGAGTTGGCGAGATTGGCACTTAACAATGCGCTACGTAAGAAACATCGAGAGGAGAATCATTTGAGACAATAACAGTACTGCTTCATTCCGCTATTGAGACACTCTGCGGCAGAGGCGTAAGAATTAATTCTGCTGACGTCATGATCGGTGACTGTGAAGGTGGCGTTGTTATCGTGGTACCTCATTGTGACTTCGAACTTTCCGCCACCGGGGCTCACCTGAATCAAGTAAAAATAGGCGAGACTGGTTGAGTTTGCAAAGTCGATCACGCGGTCCACTCGATGTAGCTTTTTCAGACGAAGTTTGGCACAGAGCCGTCTACCCTTCTTGTCCCGATAGCCGTCGAGGATGGTATCGACGTGTTCGAGAAAGGCGTGGGCTCCCTTCTGGACGAAAGGATCGCGAGAATCGATTGATTCGAACGCGGTACAGGTGCACCAGTGAGAGGAGATTCCGACGTCGGGGCAACCTCTTTCTCGAGGCACCGGTCCGGCGAGCAGACTGCGACAAGCTGGACAGCCCGGTGACTGATCCGTTTGACCCCCGGATAACCTCAACACCTCTCGAAGCGTTTCGTAGAGATCGAACGGTGAAGTAAGACGATGTTGATTCGCGCGTACCGACGGATACGCCTCTGGTCGTTCGGCTCGGAACCATTCTGGCAACCAGAGATAAAGGAACGGCAGCCGCTCTTCGTACCAGCCGACGAACGTGTTTCTGATCGGTCCCCAGCGCATCCCGTGATCACTCAGAAATACGATCATCGTGTCATTCAGCACACCCTCGCGTTCCAACTGCTTCAGCTTGCCGAGTAGTTGATTGTCCATCGACGATAGTCCATTCGCGTTCTCGTGGCTGACACTGATGGTCCAGAAGAAGCCGAAGTACGGCTGACCGAGGAAAGCGCGGCTAAACTCGACCGCGTAGTCGAGGATTCTGTCGAAGCTGCTCTCTGGTCCAGTGCAGTACTTTAGACCAAATCTGAAAAAAAGGGAAACGGCATCCGCGGTTTCGATATTTTTTTTTCGACCAAAGGATACTTTTTTTTTCAACGCGTATTCAATATGTCTACCTCTTTTTCACTTTGAGCAGCTTTTCGCAGGCGAGCATGTACGGTCGAAGGTAGTAATCTGTTGGCGGCTCGACGAACCCGACTTTTAGATAGTTGAAGGTGTTGAGAGAGGTTTCGTCCTCGCCGTAGGCGGTCGCGTAACCAGCTTGACGGAAGTTGCGCCAGATGAAGGGGCACCGATCGAGAAAGTGTGGCACGGTGGGCTTGCATATCGAGTATGCTTGAGCTTGATTCTGTCCGGTCAGGATCGCCATTAGATTTGGAAAAGTGTTGTCGCCCATCTTGTTGTAGCCGTTCAACCGGACCCAGCCGGTCTCGCGTAGATATTTCTCCGTATTTGGTGCGCTGCGCATGAAATTTAACCGGCTGACGCTATCAATGCCGAGCAACAGGACGCTCAGTTTCCTGGAGAGCAGCATAGAAGAAGCGGAAGTCTCAACGGTGGCATTGAAACGATCAGACACCTTGTCCACGTTGAGAATCGCGTGAACGTTCTCGTAGATCGGCTTGCCGCGCCGTTTGCTCTTCACCGTGCAGCTGACCATTGCGGCGTCCGCCTCGGCGGGCAACGCGCTCTCCCCCTGGAACCTCCGACATCGTTTCACCCTGAGAAAAGAGAAAAGAGAAAAGGGGGGGGGGAGTAGTGGTCGCGATCGGACGCATAACGGGGGAACAATGTCTATCCGTTCGATCGCGTTTCCTGCTCCGCTCTCTCTCTCCCACCTGACTGACGGACACTCACACGATCATAGAGTCGACATTGTTCTCCTTCGTCGATTCCTTCTCGGCCCTGAACACCGGCGACCAGCAGCACTCTAGGCCAGGATAACGTGCCACGGCAGCAGGATCCACGTAGAGAATCACGGTGCCGTTATCCTCCCTGGTCAAACCAGTGAAACGGGGCTCGTTCGTGCACCTCTCAAATTTTTCCTTTTTCACATAAGCGCGAATCGACGGATCCACCGGTTCCTTCGAGAGCATATGACATCTCGGGTTCCACACCAGATACCCATCCAATGTTCCTGTCAACACCAATCACGCAGACTTCCATCTGCCTCTGCTGCGCGTTCAACGTGGATCCTTACCTTACACGGCAACTTACCCTCCGCGATGTTGTACGGCTTGTAGACGGAAGGGTATCGCGGCTCGAACTCGTAATCCTCCTCCTCGCAGACCATCACGTACAAGCTGACGAGGAGAGCGGCTGGCAAGAGAAGCAGAACGAAGCTCGGCCGTCGAAGAAGGCAATCGAGAACCAAGCGAGAACGTCTCTTGAGTTTTCGCGCGTATCCCTCCCGTTCGCGTGAATCGCTTTCACGAGGTCCGAGGCCGGTCGACGCCGGCACCTGCTTCGATGTTCGCGAGAACATCTCCTGACCGAGTGTCGGTTCGACGCGACCGCAACGATCAGAGGGACGGTGGTCATCGGGTCCGGGGTTCCCGTTGCTCCCCGTGATCGTCACCACGGTGAATTTCACGAAACGTTCCTTTTCCGTCCGTCGTCGTTCTAACGCCAAACTTACTCACTGTCCGAAAAAAAATCGTTCCATCGGAGCACGGACGTAATACCGCCGCCTACCTAGTTCCGTTAACGACTGACGTAAATGTGTTGCAAATAGCAAACCAGTAGGGCGGAGGTTAGATTCGTTCGGTCGACTTAATCAACCCTGCGGATACCCTTCGCGAACGTTCGCGAAAGATATGACTCTGTGAGGAGGAAGGGCGAGAGGGAGGGAGGAGAACGGTGAACGGTAGGAGGGAGCGGTTAACTATCGACGCGCGCCACACTTCCGACATGTTGGCTTGCTTTGCGCAGATGCGCACATCTCCACCAATTTCGAATCGAATGGCTGCATCTGCAGGGAATTTCGTTACATCTAGAGGGATCGTTAAGGATGAGTGGCAAGCAGAAAGTGCACGTGCGGTGAGAACGAAGAATTTTTCAGATTCGTGTGTTTATTCGAATCGTCGCTGCGTATCAAAAGATACAAACGGATGCGTGAAAGGGGGGAACGATAATCGGGGGAAAAGATATAAACGTGTTTCCCAACCCGTTTGCCATAGGTGGAAGAGCTTCTCCCTGTGGATCGACGCGACAATGAGGGCAACAACGACAATGACCACACCAGTCTTTTCTTCCAAGAGCCTCTCCGTTGATGTAGGTTAAGGGAACGGTGAACATCCTGAAACCGACGACGATACTGTATCGCGTATTTCTCCGTCATTTATACTGCAGAAAAATAAAACGTCATTTCCTCTAACAGTACCAGAGATAGATGGAAAGGATACTAACTGCAAACGGAACAACGTTTCTCGTCGGATCCGTCGCCACAACCGTCGCGGCCGCTGCAGGCGATCGCGTCCGATCGGCACCTGCCGTTGTCGCACCTAAAGGGGCAGTGCCTGGAGCTGAGTCTTGTACGGTTACGCGTTCGGCAGGCTCCCCTTGGTTCGTCGCTTCCATCTCGACAGGATACCACGGCGTTACAAAACTCGTACGCCGGCAAGCATTGCCCGCTGTTACATCTGAACGCTCCACCCGGGCATTCTACAACACGTCCCGCGTCTTGCGTTTATTCGAGAGAACCGTGTTTGTCATTCGATCGGCTCGAAGTAAAGGGAATGTAAGGGAAAACCTACTTCGTCGGTCGTTGCACCCCAGCTCATCCTCGCCGTGTGGACAGTCGCGATGTCCGTCGCAGAGCATCGCCCTCGACACGCAAATTTTACTCTTGTCGCAGGTGAACGCTTGCCACGGGCATCGCGATTCCCCCTCAGAACACGCTTCGTCCGAGCCATCCGCGCAATCTGGCCTGCCGTCGCACACGAAAAACCAGCTGATGCAAACCCCGGTGCTTCTGCACTGGAACGTTCCAACCGCGCAACCGGTGTTCTTCGCGGTACAGCTAGCGTTCCCTTCGAACCCGCACTCGCACACTCCTTCGATGCATCTCGAATACGGATCCGCTAGTCGACATTCGCCGTCGGAGACGCAGGCGTATCCTAGAGTGACCGGTGTCATTGTTCCTCCCATGCTCCCCTCGTGACGGTTCGTTTTCGAAGCTAATACTGACGTCCACACCGTCGGGCTGCTGGCTGTCTGGGTGACAGCCTCCACGACGATCGCATCGTCCTCTCGATCATTATGATTAATCTCCGTCGATGAGAATGGTTTATCGGTTGACTCGGTGATTAAATTCACTAGGATAGACGAAGTCACTAAGGAAGAGGCATTTTTCAGCCAAGCGAGTTGAACTCCTGAAAGAGGACAATCAAAGTTTGGAGAAAGAGCTGAAAGTTAAGATGAAAGCTCGACTGTTACCTGTTTCCTCCTCCTGCTTCTCTGGATTCTCGGCTAACGTGGTTTGTCCGAGGGTCCAGGCGTGATCGAAGAGCGGCGAAGGCCTGACCAGATCGTCCGGTCGACAAATGTCGTTTTCGCGTCGCATCGGTGCCGTGCATTGGCAACGGCCGAACAAGTCTGGTATCAAGAAATCGCAGTGCGAATTTTCCTGCCATAGTCGACAGTGGGCGTGCTCGTAACAAAATTGGCCGAGTTTCGCCGCTGAAACGGTTCTCGTATTTTTGTCTCATCACGAAAAAAAATCATCGCGCGCCCATCTACTTACGACCTAGGCACGTGTGTCGACGAAATTGAAGGAAACCTTCGTTACAACCGCAGAAACCATCCAAACAAATGCTGTTGGCTACTTTCAAGGTGCATTGCTCATCGACGAGACACTCCTGGCCCAGAAGAGTCGCTGTATCATAGTGGTAAAAGAAAGGAAATAGTGTTCTCGATATTTCTCGATTCGAGAAAAAATGAATGAACGAATGAATGAAACCGCGAATTGATCAATTCTCACCCTCGAGGCAGTGCGTTCTATTATACGTGGCAAAATAGGGCAAACAGCGACAATAACCGAGCTGACAATGGCTCCCGAGGATGTTTGCGACGCAGTCCCCGTCCCTGGTACACTGGTCGCCCAGGTTGCTGCTTCTGTTGCTGCTGGTGGTTCCCGTGCTCGTTACGGTAGCCAGAATCGGTGTCTGAAACACGCGTGGAAATTTTCTCGCATAATCAGCCTGAACCATGCAACCTCTTTGCCGCCGCTTCACCCTCTTTCCTTTACCGTCACCTCGATCGCCATCTGCTCGAGCTTCTCACGAGTGTCGAACACAATGAGCGTGCGTGTAATTCACTGTGAATGTGGAAACGCGGAAGGAACAGGCGGAGGGGAGAAGTTCACCGGTAAAACTCGGTAGAAGTGAAAGAATTGCTCAAGAAGAGGGTGAAGAAGAGCAATCAATAGCGTAACGAACGAGGCAGATGGAAGACAACATCTGTGCGTCCCGAGTATAACGTGAACGCGTAACGCGCAACCACACCGTTACCTTAGCCGCTACTAGTTACCTGCTAGTTGTCAGAATAAACCCGCGTGAATCGTACTCTTCTCCGAAACACCGTTTCTTTCGCAACGGAAAGACCAGCAATTGTTTGCGCGCGCGAGCTTGATATAACAATTTACGTGCCTATTATTCACAAAGTTATCGAATCGTATTTCCCTTGTCAGAGATCCCTTCACTATTCTTCTCCTACGTCCGGTTTCAATATTTCGGCGAAACAACTCACCGAACGGTCGACGACCGCGAGGAGGATAAGAACAATCGTTCCACCGGCGCTGTGCATCTTCGTTTCGACTTCACCTCTTTCTCCTCTTCCTCGTCTTCCTCCTTTTATCCTTGTTATTTCCGGAAAAATAGTGAAATCGTGGGGAACTGCACGCGAACAATACGAAACCGATCCACGAATGCAGCTGGTATCCGCGAGAGTCTTGGTATGACTGAAAGCAAACTGAGAACGGCCCTCCGCTGCTTTTGGCCCCCATGCACGAACGACGGAAAAGCGGACAACAGCCGCGTTCCCTCGCTCTCCCACCTCTTTACCATGGTCTCGGTCTCGGTCTCGGTCTCTTCCTATTGCTCTCTCCCTATATACGATCGTTGCGTACCGCAGCTTCATCCCGCGTGTTCTCCAGAACCTCCTTTCAATATTTTCGAATTACAGCCCAATTTTGGATGATGTAACAACGAACACATAACTTAGATGGAAGAAGAGGAGGTGGTGAATAAAGCGTTGAACGAATAATTCGTGTCACGCGTAACTTGTTTCGAAATTCATTAGTATTCCAGCGTGAAACGGCAAAGGCGCGAGGTCGGCCATCTTCCACCCTTCCTCTCCTACCTACCGTCGCTCTCTTTCTCGCCGTATCGGTGCTCGCGATCACAACCGGTGCGCATCTAGCAGTACATCTTTATTCCTGCCCTTCCCAAAGGATCTCTCGCAGAGTGAAACGGTATCGTCAACCAACCGTTTTGTCAGGGTGATTTCGCAAGCTGCACTTGTTTTTACCCGTTTGACCCGTGATGAGCGATTTCCTTCCGATCGGACCGCTTCGTCCGATCACTGTAAAACGGCAAGGGGAAAGCGGTAAGCAGAACGGGGACTCAGGCGAGTCGCTCGAGAAACAGGAAGTCGCAATGGACTACGCTGGAATGTAAATGGAGAATCGACGGAGACTCAAACAAAAGAAGAGTCAGCCGCGAGAATCGCCTAGAATGCGTTGGGCGCGGGGTAAAAGACCTTCGCGGAAATGCCGTAAACCGTACAAGGATCGGCCACAAAAACAAAACAATGACTTCATCGAGTCTCTGTTTTATAACCCCGATTAAGTATCGACACCGTAACGACGTTCTTTGATTCGTGTCGCGTCGCGTCCCGTTTCGTCCCATCTTATTCATCGCAATCACATTCACGTCGATATTGTCTCCTTCTCGATTCTATGCACCGATTAAACGTGCCTTCAACAATCAGTTCAAAAACTTCTCCTGCCTGTTCATGATGGCTAGCATGACGATCCGGCAAAAATAATCAAACGTATCGCTGTAAAAGACTTTGGACAAAAGGAGCGATACTTCGATACTTGGTACTTCCACCAATTCATCTTTGCATTATGTATCGTTCGACTTTGTCCACTGTTTCCTCTATTCTGTAAATGACTATTTAGCAACTAGTCATTTTACTCGCAATTAGATTCCTAAATGTGTGAATAAGGATATCCGGAATGTTTTGATATCTAACTTCGTTTATCTTTTCTATTCTGAACGCGTCCCGATTATGCGCTTTTATCTGACCAAGTAAATTATGCTACAATGATGGTAATTCTTCCCCACGCATTCAGCATCTTCTTCTTCGTTTCACAGCTCGTTATTCTATTTGAATTAATTGGATCTTACTTATTAATTTTGCCGCTCATCTACTGGCACCCTTCTTCTTCTTCTTCGAACAAATGACTTTTGTTTGTGCCGGAGAAAACACGCGACACAAATCATTCCTCGCGAGAAACACACTTCACTAGATCAATTCAATATGTGTTTTATCGATGCAATTATTCGGAATTTCCTCAAATTTTGCGATATGATTTATCTGAAATACTCGGAACTTACGGTTGTAGCAATCATAGGAAATGGTTAAGCATTTGATATGGAATCGAATTATCGTTTACAAACTGTCTTAGCCAATGAGCACGAGAAGCATCGTGGGATTTTACATGTTGAAAATCTTGAAAATAAACCTAACCTAGAATGAATCGTGTTCAAACTTTTTCTTCGTAAAAAGAATATAAATAAAATAAAGTGTAGATAGAAGGGAATGTGAGGCAAAAATTTTCATTAAAACGGAGTTGTACTATATGCTTAATGTGTACCGTAAACGTTACGCAATTCGTTCGATAGTTCGTCCATGTGTGTCGCCCCTGTCGATTGCGTTGTTCAGAGACGTGGGTGAAATTACAGGTTAAAAGTTTAGAAAATTCGAAATAAAGCATGGCGTTTAGTTGTAAGAAAATGATTCTCAATCCTGGTAAGTGAAGGTACAAAATTTCCTTCAGATAAACGATTCATTTCGAATTTATTTCCAATTTATTTCTAATATAACAACACAATAACGCAGTAACAGTGATTCTCCAATCTCGTAAAGATGGAAGCTACTAGAATCAAATGGAATTAAACAAAATCAAATTTTATCCTGACCTTCTTCTTTCACTAAAAGCCTTTGATGTTTCTCTTTCTTTTCTTTCTTTTTTTGTTTTAGCACTCAGAAATACTGTGAAGCAGCTGTTTTTTGTCGAACATCTTGTTAAACACGTAAGAGAATCACAATCGTCATTTTCTTCATCGTCTGTTTATTCTGTGTTTTCTGTTTATTTCGCCTTCTTTCGTATTGCACACTGAAATTGTTCATTTTTTTCAGCAATTGCATGCTCAATTACGAGCAGGATCGTATTTAGCGAATGTGATAACTCAAAGAGTTTACAGTACGAAACAAGTCTTCAATAGAAACAAGCCGCATTGTAACGTTGGTACGATCGGTCATGTGGATCATGGAAAAACAACTCTTACCGCAGCTATCACCAAAGGTATTTTCAACTCCCAACCCACCGTATTTTTTCCTTTTCTCATTCTAACTTCTTTCGTTATGTGCGTTTACAAAAACACTTTTTCTTTGTTATACTAGTTCTTTCTGAAAAGGAGTTGGCAAAAGCGAAGGCATATAGCGATATCGATAATGCCCCAGAAGAAAAAGCACGTGGTATTACCATTAATGTGGCTCACATCGAATACCAGACAGATAACCGCCATTACGGACACACCGATTGTCCAGGACATGCTGATTACATAAAGAACATGATCACTGGTACTGCACAAATGGATGGTGCTATCCTAGTTGTTGCTGCTACCGATGGTACTATGCCACAAACTAGAGAGCATCTGATTCTTGCCAAACAGATTGGTATCAATTATATTGTTGTTTTCGTCAATAAAGTAAGTTTTCTTTAGGAAAAATGCGTACAGCATTGCTTGCCCAGCAACAGATCAGAACTTTCTAAAGAATTTTTACCATGTAATTTCAAACGTTAATCAATTTACATTTGCTTTTAAAGGTTGATGCAGCGGACGAAGAAATGGTCGATTTGGTAGAAATGGAGGTAAGAGATTTGCTAACTGAAATGGGTTATGATGGAGCAAAAGTACCCATCATTAAGGGGAGTGCCCTTTCTGCGCTAAATGGTACTAATCCAACGATAGGACGCGATGCAATAATGAAGTTACTAGATGCCGTGGATTCTCATATTCCGACACCAATCAGAGAGTTAGACAAACCATTCTTATTACCGATAGAAAATGTTTATTCGGTTTCGGGTAGAGGAACGGTGGTTACCGGTAGATTGGAACGCGGGAAAATAAAGAGAGGCACAGAATGTGAACTGATCGGTTTCAATAAACTGATCAAGAGCACGATAACGGGAATAGAAATGTTTCACCAAACGCTCGAAGAAGCAGAAGCAGGAGATCAAATGGGTGCTTTGCTTAGGGGTTTGAAGAGAGAAGACATCAAACGAGGCATGATATTATGCAAACCAGGTTCGATAAAAGCTCACGATCATTTAGAGTGTCAGGTATATATGTTGACAAACGCGGAAGGAGGCAGAAAGAAACCTATCAGTAATTTAATGCACGCTCACATGTTCTGCAAAACGTGGGACGTAACGAGTCAACTTAATTTCCTAAATAAAAATATAGTTATGCCTGGTGAAGATTTCAGGTAAGTCATCTTCAAATGTTATTGCAACAAAAAAATAAACCTTATTTTCACCGCTCCTCTGTCATATGTCACATTCGACGTGTCTGTCTATCTGTTTCTAGCGTTGTACTCAAACTAATAAGACCGATGGTGTGTGAAAAGGGACACCGATTTACATTAAGAGATGGAGCAAAAACTGTAGCAACTGGAGTGATTGTCGATTTATTGCCAGATCTTCATGAAACCGAACGAATAGCAATTCTGGAAGGTAGAAAAAAAGTGAAACAACAAACAGCTGAAGCTGATAATTGAATTATTTCATGCATTTATCGCGTTTGATTGAACGAATTAGATCTAACGTGTATTAGTACCCATGCATTTTATCGATTGATCGATTCACGTATCTCAAAAGTATATGTCTCTTATAGACGTACCATTGAATAAAAAATTCTTTTATACAACATTATTTTCAAAATGAGTAATTTCTATTATCAATATTGTTTTTTCCTTTTGCTTTCCAATGTTCATTCTTTCTCGCAGATACAAATGTATTACACACGTGTATAAAAACGATTCGAGTGTCGTAATTTTAAGAAACAGTTCAATGATTTATTGAATTCAATACATCAACGGTACAAGCTATTTCGAGCGGAATAAATGAAATACGTAGTAAGAGTTATCTCGCACTCTTTGTTTCTGCTATGTTCTCTTGCCACCCATATAAGTGCTATGGTATTTCTGTACACTTTTACTCCTGTGTTTCCGCGTTATAATCGACAAACAATAAAATGAGGGAATTTGGGAAAGGAACGTTTGCAACGCTTTTTCTGTCTCCCAACGAAACGAATGTTTTTGTATAGAAAAGAAAAACACTGTTTATATAATTTAAGTTGAACAAATCATACATTCACCTTCGCTTATAAAAATAGTAAACAGTCCTCATGATCGTGGACAGGCGCAACTGACTACAAATCGTGCTTCGCTTCAATCGAAACATTATTTCAAAATACAACACTGTGCTTGGGAATTTTAGATTATTCACAAAGACCGTTTGCTGCACCATTTGTCCAATTGGTACTACGCATCCACACTTTTTCTTTCTTCGTCCATCGTCGTGTCACGTAATTTGTGTGTATTTGTATGTAGCAGCAAAGGTTATATTATCAATTGGTAAAGATGGAACTACTTCGACAGTTTTCCCAATTTGATATACACGTATGTTTCTCTGTTTCTGTGCACATGTACGTGTACGTGTGTGTGTGTGGTGTGGGCGCGCGCTTTGTAAACAGTGACTTCTAGCATTAGCGTTTCGACCGTACCGAAAGATTCTTTCTTACAGAATTAATTCTTCACCTTATTTATCATAACGAAACAGCACCACGTTTGCTCGTTCGAACGTTGGCAATTTACATGCCGTATTTCCTTATACAAAAGGTATAATAAAATTAGCAAGAAAAGTTCAACTATTTTGACGGCAATGCCTTAAAGTGGGCCGACAATCTGGTTTATCGGTAAGTTATACATCAAATACGCTAAATACATTAGTTCGCACAACATACGCGTACCCAACGCATACATAATATGTAAGTGACGGAAAAGATCGTGGAATAAGCACAACGTCGAATGTCGATTAATTTTTAAGTGACACGATACGTAAAATTTTATCGAACCGCGTTGTATCGATCAAATCGTACAAACAAACCGATGAAAGAGATACGCTATGCTTGGAACCGTGTACAATACCCACAAGAAAATTTAATATATTCACACACACGAACATTTTACGTGCGAGAAAATGGTATTCATCAATTCCTGGTATCGTTTCTTTAAGATAAAGCTCGAGAGCTGTGAAATCACAGAAATATCTCTGTCATTATTAACTGTATGATATGAAATATAAGTGTGTACGCGCAAGCATTAATTCCATTCAAGAAAGAATCTTCGATCTATTGGAGAGGCACACAAGTACATAACGTACTAAATACGCTTGTGTACGGTTTGCCCCTAATCTTATCATACACACGATGTAATAAACTAGAGATCTTCGTCATCTTCTGGTAACGCGGTCTCTTGGGCTTCCTTGAGATCTTTCTCGATTTGTTGCTGCCATTGTGGATCCATGGTAACTTCTGGTGGAAGAAGAGCTGGCATCGCGACAAATTCTAGATTTGGGTCGCCGATCAACTTACGCGCCAACCATAGGAAAGGTTTCTCAAAGTTGTAGTTGCTTTTTGCACTAATATCGTAGTACTGAAAATACAGAGAGTAATTTTTTTCGTTTTGAACATGTATCCACTGAACAGCTCAGATACGAAAGATGTGTATCAGATTAGAAGGACAAACATCATGATTTATAAGTTTAACAAAGTTTACAAAACCATAAGATGTAAGAAAGTTAAAAGTTTACAAAGGTTTGCTTACTTGAAGGTTCTTCTTCCTATGGAAAACGATGCTCTTTGCTTTTACTTTTCTATCCTTAATATCAACCTTGTTACCACAAAGTACGATAGGTATATTTTCACAAACTCGAACCAAATCTCTGTGCCAGTTGGGTACATTTTTATACGTTACTCTTGACGTAACATCAAACATAATGACAGCACATTGTCCTTGAATATAGTAACCATCTCTAAGACCACCAAACTTTTCTTGGCCAGCTGTGTCCCAAACGTTGAATCGAATGGCACCTCGATTCGTGTGAAAAATCAAAGGATGTACCTCTACGCCCAAAGTTGCGACGTATTTTTTTTCAAATTCGCCGGTTAAGTGCCGTTTGACAAATGTCGTTTTTCCAGTACCACCATCGCCAACTAATACGCATTTGAAAGTAGGTATATCAGCTTCTTGTGCCATTTTAGTATCGACGATTTATCCGATAACTGGAGTGACAGACAGAAACCTGGAAAAGCAAAAATGACGCTCGAAATGTGGAGAAGCGATTAACGAAGTATAGATGTTGAATACATAGGATAAGTGGTGAAAGTGAACGTGGTGGTGTAGAAAAGCCGGTTGCAATAATCATACATGTATTTCGAAGCTGTTGGAAGCGGCTAGGTATCAAATCGCGCGTATCACGCATTAAAAACGTGATCGATATGATCGCGACTGTTTGAATAGAACGTGAAATAATTGGAAAATAATGGGCAATGTTGATTAGTACGCAAACGGACGTATGAGAATGTTAGTTTATCATATTTTCGATGTTAAGAAAGGATGCCGGTTGGTGAATGTGTCCCGCGCTCTCAGTCAAGGGAACGTACAGATTCACCACGTTCCGCTAAAAGAATGGCGCCTCCCGTATGTAACACAAGCTTTCGCATTAATCTTACCACACGGTTACACGGAATTTTATCAAAATTGCAAACGATCGGACTAACTGACGATTAATTTATAACGAGTCTGTGAAAATTCGAGAATATAGGTACGAAATTTCCCGGCAAGCAACGTGTACGTGAAAATGACCGATAAAACTTACCCTGCAGCACAGACGTTACGGCTCACAATGGCGTTCCTTCGACTCGACGATAGGGGTCCGCATTTTCGTCATTCGTTAAACAAAATGTGATTGAATTTAAAAGAAGTATTGAATCGGTGGTGTATGAAAAAATTAAATTGGAATATTTTTAAAATGAAATGATTAAAATAATGCAGGTATGGGTGTTTTTCTTTTTTTTTTTTCAGAAAAATTCTACTAAGAACATAACGCGATTCAGCGACATCTATTTTATGCGCGCTACATCGAGCCGGTATCGAAGAATTTTAGTTTTTAACGGGGGAATTAGATTCTGTACGTATTGTACGTGGAACGATGTATTGGCGCAGGAGGGCGCGTTAAGTCCGATACATGATAGGCGGTAACTATTAAATTTAACGTATGTACATACTTTCAAGGTTGTTGTTTGTTTCTCATTCTTTCTTCTCCTTCGTTTGTCATTATTTCTTTCTCTCGTTTCATGAAACTAATCCGAAACTCCTTAAGTTATTTTGAAACGTGTTATTACATATTCTTTTTCGATTCAGCTGACGAAATACGAAATTAGAGATAATTTTCGAAGTAATGATGTACTAGATGAAAAGGTCGATTCGAAGGAAACGTTTAAATATTATATTGGAATACGTCAGGATTTTTACTCAATCGGGAAAATATGGGCGAATGAAAATTTGTTTGATACAAGTGGATTGGTGGGTGGTTTTAGGCGTGATAGAGGGGGCGACATATCGTTAAGGTGGGGCTACGGTGAAGTCTAGGTTCGGTCCTGAGTATAGTTGACGTCAGCGACGCATGCGTAACAGAACGGACGGCACTGCAGAAGCAAGCGAGTTCATGAGTGTATCGATTTTATGATCGTGTCTCTCGCCGCTTGTGCGTCCGTTTCCTTTAGTTTTTAGTGGTCGTGCTCATAGTACATGGATAAAATCGTGAATGGGATTAGTTGCTAGTCTCTTCACTTCGTACACCCGCTGATTCGCAACACTTCGACACCCTCGCCATGACCAAGGATAGATTAGCAGCCCTCGTTGCGGTGAGTTTTCAACAGCTACATAAATTTTTCGAAAACGAGCCGCTTCACTGAACGGTGAATTTATTCGTTAACTTTCTCTTTCTCTCACCCCCTCTCTCTCCCTCTTTCTCGCTCTTCCTCTCTCTTTTTCCTTTATCTTCTTAATTCACGCGCGTTTTCTCTCTCTCTCTATCTATCTATCTATCTATCTATCTATCTATCTATCTATCTATCTATCTATCTATCTATCTATCTATCTATCTATCTATCTATGTATCTATCTATCTATCTATCTATCTATCTATCTATCTATCTATCTATCTATCTATCTATCTATCACTCTTTCTCTCTCTAATGAATCTCAATTCATGCGTGCTCGTGTTTGCAATTTCGTTACTTTGTTCCTGTGTTGTTCGCATTTTCGTAACGTTCGATGAAACGATGATGTTTTTGCTTGATACGTATACGTGTAAGAGCTCGTCGTTGTTTCGTTAGACGAGGTCAATTTCTTCTCCTCGAAATACCAATCGCTGAACGAATCGATGTTCGTTCAGATCTGGTTTACGAAGAAAGAGGAAAGAAGGCGTTTCCGAGATGTCTGCTTGCCTGTCAACCATCGAGTAGTTGAACAGAGGAAAAGAGCGAATGAGCGACGGAAAGAGAGAGGGGGAGAGAGAGAGACTGAGAGAGAGAGAGAGAGATGTCTCCTGTGACTGACAGGTGTTTGCCAATATGTATACGTTTTTCGTCATCGGTTATTTCGTAACGATGACAGAGTTTGTGATGCCGGCACAAGTCATACAAGCGGATGAAAGATTTACTCTTTTACACGTAGTTGAAGAGCATTGTGATACAATGTTCGGAGTATTGACGGGTATTTTTATAGTTTGATTGGGAGGTGACCGATCGTACGTCGGAATAGAGTCGGTGTCGATGACTCAGAGGCGGCGACCAACACTTGGGAGAATCGTGTATCGGGGCGTATCTGAGCACACGCATTCATACATCCGGCAAATCTTTTTTTCTCTTTGTTCTCGTCCCGTTTTCAGGACTGAATTTGGGAGTAATGCTGTTAATTTTCTTATAGAAAAACGCACATTCTGTACTATGGTAAACAACAACTGTCGTCGGAGGAAAATCTCTCTTTTTCTGAAATTTATGTCGATCACGTGCTATATTTGACGTTGTTCGAAGGATGGCAAAGAATCGGCGGTAAAATAATTTCGTTCTATCGTGAGCGGAAATTCATTTAGCGCGTATCATCTATGTTGGATTAATTTCTAATCGAGTTCTTCTAATTTTCTGGGGTAGCGCAAAAGAAGCCAAACAATGAGTTAGAGTTAGAATCGATTTTTCGACATTTGTGTATATCATGGTCTGTTTGACTTGTAACTTAAAATTAGTAAGGCGATGTAACGCGTAGGAAAACGAGTAAAGGGGACGTGCGTTCGATTTATGTTGCGTCGTTGAAACGTTGAAAGGATGAAAGCCGTAAAATCGTTTTCGTTTGGTCTAGTATGGAAAAAGAGAAAGTTTACGGTTTTTAGAAGGAACCTCGATATTCGCGTATATATAGCTTAAGTGCTCCCGAGAGAACGAAGAGATGAAAGGAGAACAAGAAACGAAATCGATATACAGTCTCGCGCTAAATTTTGCTTAGTCGGCACTTGGCTAGGCAGATAAGTTAAGGAGGTAGGAACAAAGGGCTAATAAAGGGGGGGGGGGGTGAAAATGGTACATTAGCCCAAATATAGATGTATTTGCATAAAGAGCGAATTAAAGTAGCACAGGTAGAAGCGGGTTAAAGTCGACGGCGGCGCAACCAGTGCGAGCTCGATTCGTATTTGGAACGCGTTTGTCGCGGGCGCGACTTCGAAACTATCAGAGCTGTCGGTTGGGGTGAGAAACGTGCAAATATCGATCGTAACGAGCCAACGATAATACCGGATTCTCGATACTCGTTTGCCGGCAAAAAGGTATCGTGTGCCCGACGGAATGCTCGACGCGTGTATACGAGAGCGTTTATTAATTGGAGGCTCGAGTATAGAGAGCAAGTATCGATTCGGCGAATATAGAATTGCGCGTGGTGCCGCTATAACCGTTTTGGTTCTTACCCCTTTCTCAATGATGTCGATTCGACAATACTTTCGTTAATGGTATTTGTCAACGAGAGTAATCTCCTCGGAGAGAGAACACCTCACGGTCGGTCGCCACCTCCGAAGGAAGTCACGACACGAGTTTCTCAAACGGATAGTTAGCTTGTGTCTCTTCTGTACGGAACAGAAGTGGTGAAAGCGAGAAAAATGTTGGAAAAAGGGTAGATAGAAATTTGTATCGATTGTTGGTTCGTTCTGCTGGATTCATTTCGGTAACGAAAATGCATTGAACTGTTTCAGGCCCAGTCGGACGACGATGATGTGGCGGACGATGTGTCCGTCAATGTCGGCGCGCCCGATGATTATATGACCGAGTTTTTCGCGGAGGTGAGTATCGAGAAACAACCTGTATGCTTCGCTTCAAGCTGATTCTTTTCTCTTGGAGCAATATGGTTTCCCTTGCGCGATTCTCTTGCTTATGGATACGGGCGGTATTGGATCTCTTGTTTTTCTCGAATTTTCCTGGTTTCCGACACCGAGGAATGGATACATGGGCGTGCACAACGAATCAATGGTATAACTGACGGGAACCGGGTAAAAACGGGCGGACGCATTCCTCTTCCGCTCTGCGACTACCACGAAATCGAAAGCTGACTCGCGTGCACGTGGGACAATGCGCGTATAAATTTACCGAAGGCCCCCGTAGTAACGTAATAACGAGAGTTGAAACAGTTTTTTCATTTCTATTAGGGGAATTTGAAAGGGCGTTCATCCCTTTTAGTAAGCGAGCAATTGACAAGAAATGACGACGGCGTTGATGTCGAAATGCAGGAAAATTTCTGTTGGGACAGGTTCGTCTCGATATTGGAAAATTAGGTCGAGACGACTCCGAACCGAACCGAACTACGTCGTGTCTTTTATAGAGAAACTGTTTTAAATATAACCGTTATCCGATTCATGATCGTTGAATGATACGCGGTTGATACAAGGCTCGATTCGGAATGAGGGTGATGATGATGATGATGGGTTGTTCGGGAAATGAGAGGATCGGGTAAACAATCAAAATTGGAGGCGACACATGAAGCCTCACACACGTGCGCGCGCATACGATTCAAAGCAGGCAGGAAGTTTTACCGCGAATGGTGTGTATCGTTGACATTTGCGTTCGATGCAATTTGCGTGGGCTCGCTTCGAAACGTCGTTCGCTTGTTTTCGTATCCGACTTTTCCGTATTGGTTTGCGTGGGAAGAGACCACTTCGACAAAGGTGAAACGTTTCGCAGTTCGTTGTCGTAGAATCGATAGACGATCCTTTGGTCGCCTTTTAATATCTGGAACATGAGATTCCCGTTACCTTTACCCCCTTCTTTTATGTTTTGCTGCTTTTCTTATGCTTTATGATTTTCGTATGTCAACGAGAAAACGGAGCAAAAAAGGGTTAAGAAATTGTCCTTTCCTTTTTTTCTCCTTTTTGTTCGTCTCTACAATTTTTCTCGATGCGACTGCAAAACCGACGACGTATGGTTTAATGCCTTGTCATTTTTGCATAGGTGGAAGAGATCCGCGCGATGATAGACAAGATCCAGAAGAACGTGGAAGATGTGAAGAAATTGCACAGTACCATCTTGTCGGCACCACAAACCGATGAAAGTGAGTTTCGACGATTCCCTTACACTCGTAAACGTTTCGCGGATTGGTTCTTTTATAGCTTTCACGTAGAGGCACTACATCGCGCTACAGGTGTAGGCAGAGTTTCACGAGCGTATCCCTCTGGAGCGTTTTACCGGTCGATCAATTGGCAGACATTCAAGAAAAAAAGGTAGAACAGTGTAGGGGAGATAGTAATCGGTGTCGTCCTCGTTGCCGTTGTAGTTGCTAATTAGTATTGGATTATCCTTTCCCTGTTACAACTCCTCGCGACAATGCGCAATGCACATTTCGATGCGAATATTTAGTCTTCTTAACCCTTCCGGTACGGCAGTACTGGCCGTGCGTACGCTGCTGCAATACGAGGCACTCAAGACGCGAGAATACACTTTAGCAACAGAGCGTAACATTATTTCTTTCGTTATTTTCACAGTTCTTAAGACAATTCCATCAAAATAATTCGGTAAAAGTAAATCAGTTACTTTGGAAATATCAAACCATGCTATGCTTGAAATTTTGATGGGTGACTATAGTCTCACCGGTAGGATATAGCGAACGCTCGACGATGGGTGGCTATAGTTATCGGTGGTAACAAAAGGGATTAAACTCCTTGAGTCCATTCGATTCCTCCTGTGCATTGCACGCACGATCTATCCAGTGAAATGAAACGACATAGGATTTCCTTTGTTGCTCGAGGGTAAATCTAGATTGGGAAAGTAGAGATTTGTTTTCTGCTGAAACGATCCTTTCCACGCACGTGGCAGGGTAGAGAGAATCTTTTCGATTACCGTGCACACGGTTATTTGTTTCGGTGCCGTGTGATAATTCGTTCCAATATCCAGGCGTTAGACTTTTTCTCCTTCATCCGGTTGCCCTCTTGTTTTGTATAACCCGGTCAACTTGCCGGCTTTACAATTATGCGTTAAGGGTCGAAGCTCTTGGGAAATAGCATGGAGAAGGTTAATGTTACATCGGGAGTAGAATTGTTCCGTTTCGCAAAGAAGACGACCGTAACGCTGCAAGATCTTTGTAATTGTTTTCGTCATCGCGAAACGACAAGAAGCTCGCGACAGACGACGCGATCGATGCACCGCAGTCACATACGTACTTTTGCGTCTGGCTTTGGCTGATTTGCAAGTAGTGCTAAAGTGAAAAGATCGATCGAGCTCATTTTCTACTTATCCAAACCAACCGATACTTCCAGCCTCTTGGAAAAACTCTGATCTTACCTATCACTCTTTCAGTTTTCGAGCAACGCTTCTTCTGATCTCTTGGAGCAACGAATCTTGTTCGTATTGGTTTTCAGCTACTCTCTTTGCTTGATAAACTGGTATTTATCACCACCTAAAATGAGCAGCCACGTGATAATGACGGTTATGTGTCGCTCGTATTCGGGTAGCATTGAATATGAGAGCGGAACGAGTCGCGTATCGAAGGGCGAATCTTGGGTGGTAAGTGCTCGCCTATCTTAAGGAAACGGATTTGGTCGAATAAATACACGTAGGTCGGTAGGAAGATTCGCTATGTCGATACGTACTGATAGCGCTGGTTGGATCCGGAAGTCACTTGGAAACGCGATAGTTGAAGACTCATTCGATCTTTGAATCGATTCGCTGTAGAAGAGATGGAAAATAAGAATGAAAGGAAGGAAGGAAGGAAGGAGGAAGAAGAAGGAAATTTTTCTGGGGCGCAAAACGCGCTGGCGATTGGATCGAATTCAAGCGTCCTGTATCTCCCGGGCGTGCCGAGTTCTCGAGAGGCTTTAGAAGTAGGTCTGGCACGTTTCCACCCTGTATTAACCCAATTCCATCGAGCACCCTCGACGCAGGAGAATGCGCGCACCCTCGCCCGTCACCCGGCGCCCAACGTCGATGGAAACGCGTGCACGCGCCCACGAGGCCAACGGACTATCTCGATCGAATTTCACCGAACCAGATTTCTTAAATCTTGCTTGAATCTCCTTCTTTATCGATACGATCCTTGACTTGATACGGATCGACGCGGAGCCCGACGATTATTTTGTTCTATGAAATTGATCGCGGAGCTCTGTCGGCGAATCGAAAACACACATACATGCACAGAGGTTAGAAAGTAGGGTTGAAAGGGTGAGCTATTCGATGTTAACGGGGTCAGATGAAGAAGACTGTGCCGATGACAGCAGGAAACGTCGTTCAACTAGAATTGAGTGTCCCATTTTTCCTTTTCTCGCGACGACGAATCACATGATATACGATCGCATCGAAGCCTCGTTTAACCAAACCTTCCTAATTAAGCCCGAATTTCTACGAGCGATGAGCACCGAGAACTTTTCGAAAATGACCAAAGCCAAAACTCCCTCTATGTTGGTCGGTTTGTACGAACTTGTAAGTTCGTCGAATGCTGTGGGTCCAAACAAAGGCACCACAGAGCGAACCGTTACATTTCTCTTTTTGCGTTACAGAGGTCAAAATGGATTTGGAAGACCTGATGTCCGACATCAAGAAAACGGCCAACAAAGTCAGAGCCAAGTTGAAGGGTAAGTAAGAGAAAAGAAGAGCGAAACTTGTTCGAAAAACAGATTTCGAAAGTGCGAGAATGAAGAGGGTAATGAAGAGGGGACGAAACGTCGGTGCAGCTATAAACTTTGACGTTACGTTTTCGGTGTTCAGTGATAGAGCAAAATATCGAGCAAGAGGAACACACGAACAAATCGTCGGCGGATTTGAGGATACGCAAGACACAGCACTCGACGCTTTCGAGGAAGTTCGTCGAGGTGATGACGGAGTACAATCGAACGCAAACCGATTACAGAGAACGGTGTAAGGGAAGGATACAGCGACAGTTGGAAATCAGTAAGTGGAAATGATTGTGTGAATTTGTTTTTCGAGGTATATGTAGTCGGGGCCACGATATATGTAGCGAGGTTATAAATTAAACTCTCAAGAATCGGCACCGGTTGATGTTGCGGCACTCAGGGCCATGCGTTGTAGTCTGTTCAAGGACGGAAGAAACGCAAGAACTACGGAAAAACTAAAATATTAACAAATTAAGGTTTTTCTCACTGGGGGAAGACACTTTTGGCGGTACAGTTACAGGTAAAGGTCTTATTGAGGTTTTTAATGTCTTAATTTACCTGCTCGTGTTATATACAGATAGAAAATGCAAAAAGGTTGTGTAGCCTGCGGACATAGAAAGTAATTACAAATATTTTAAATAGTAATTAACCCTTTCGCGGAGAAGACGCCTGTGACCGTCGTTTTGTCGATCGTCTATTGGGACAAGACGGTCACAGCCGTCGATTTTCCATATAATAGTAAGATGTCTGTGACCGCTTGAATACACACAATATGTATCTTACGATTTTCGGCGAGAGCCTGTTGCATCGCAGCTGCTTCCGTTTTTGACCTTGTTGTTGTCATTTTGAGTATTTCGGACGGTTTTTAATTCACTGATTGTTATACAGGGTGTTTGGTAGGTCGATAGAAAGTTTGCAAGGGGTGAAAGAGGAGGTCATTTGGAACATATTTAGCTATATATACCTTTATACAAGGTGTCATGGTATTTGAGATATTGGCCACTTTCTTAATTTTGCTTATTACCGGACATTTCCGAAGTAAACGATTATAGAAAGTTTATTATGGTCATTATAAACTCCAACTTTATATTTTTTCTTATCTTCAGAACATGTTTCGTCTAAATCACACAATAAAATTTTTCTAAATATGATTTTAAACATTTGGTAAGCGAATGAAGTTGCCTGTATACTGTGTCTTGTAATTAAAGTAAGTTTTTAATCGCTCTTTTCTCAAAAACAACGTGTTCCTATGGAATTAAAATTTTTGTAAAAACTTCTTTGTTTTGTCCTGCTTCTAATGGTATGTGACACTTTAACCATCTTCTGCAAATTATTTGTACCTGAGCAATAGATGTACCCAGCGGTACGCTGCGATCGCCTTCCTACCTTTTTTAGAGGGGCTATTCTCTATTTATGGCAATATGTGATTAGTCGATTGTTGGAAATCGCTATCTCCCACTCAACAGTTTTCCACTTCCTTAGTTATTAGTTTCTTTCTTTGTCGCCCTTGGACCAACGATGTCGAGAAAACAGTTGAGCGTTTATGCTGACTGTTCTGTACAAAGTCGTTACTGTTTAGTTGAGCAGAGGCTGTGGATGCATTTTTACGTCTTTTATGTGTTTTAGTATTTTTGTTTCTGTAAAAGTTTTGTACTACTAATACCACTTATACCGTTATACTTTTATTTTAGTTATTGAATACAACTGTATTGTTATTTCACATTTTTATCATGACGACATTTTCGAATGCTGAATACGCAGACATACTTTTTATGTATGGAAAAGCCAACGGTAATGCATCTGGTGCTAGAAGATTATACCAAGAACGTTTTCCACAAAGAAGAGTGCCCAACGTCCAGGTATTTATCAATACATATCGACGCATACATGAAACTGGAAGTGTACATCACCAAGAACCTGGAGTAACTTATACAACATATGCTGCTGATGTTGATGAACAAATTTTGGAGGCATTTGAGGCTGATCCTACCACCAGCATTAGGACTATTGCACATAGATTTAATGTGTCCATATGGAAAGTCTGGTCGGTTCTCAACGCCGAGGGAAAACATCCTTTTCGTTACACATCAGTGCAAGCTCTGGAAGAAGGTGATCCACAGCGAAGAACGCTTTTTTGTCGGTTTTTATTGAATGCTGACATGGAAGATCGACTGTTTCTTCGAAGCATTGTGTGGACTGATGAATCGAAATTTTCTCACGAAGGTATCACCAATTTTCACAATTTACACTATTGGTCTGATGCAGCTGAGAACCCCCATGTAAAAAGGCAAACATCGTTTCAACGAAAATTTAGTGTAAATGTGTGGGCAGGTGTGATTGGAAAAACATTAATAGGCCCATACTATCTACCAGACAATTTAAACGGGGACAATTATTTGGTATTTTTAAAGAATGTTATGCCAGACATCTTAGACGAAGTGCCATTGAATGTAAGGAATCAAATAATATTTCAAAATGATGGTTGCCCTGCTCATCAACGTCTGACTGTGAGGAATTTCTTAAATGAGCAGTTTCCTAACCGTTGGATTGGAAGAAGCGGACCCATACTATGGCCACCTAGGTCCCCGGATTTAACTCCAGTAGACTATTATGTTTGGGGATGTATGAAAGATTTAGTTTACGCGGAGGAAATTAGAGACAAAAATCATCTTATTAGAAAAATTGAAGAAGCTGCTACAAAAATGAAGCAAGAAATGAAACTAGGCATTACTACCAGTGAAATCCGAAGACGAGCACGTTTCTGTATAAGGCACAACGGTTCACATTTTGAACATCAAAGATAGCTCTTCTTCAGACTTTTATTTTTGTTGTAATTCTGCTTTCGTTATAAAAAGCGTAAACAATCTTATTTTATAGAGCTGTTAAATAAATAAAAGTTAACGATATACATTTACAGTAATAACTATTTAATCTACCCTCTCTAAAATAGGTAGGAAGGCGATCGCAGCGTACCGCTGGGTACATCTATTGCTCAGGTACAAATAATTTGCAGAAGATGGTTAAAGTGTCACATACCATTAGAAGCAGGACAAAACAAAGAAGTTTTTACAAAAATTTTAATTCCATAGGAACACGTTGTTTTTGAGAAAAGAGCGATTAAAAACTTACTTTAATTACAAGACACAGTATACAGGCAACTTCATTCGCTTACCAAATGTTTAAAATCATATTTAGAAAAATTTTATTGTGTGATTTAGACGAAACATGTTCTGAAGATAAGAAAAAATATAAAGTTGGAGTTTATAATGACCATAATAAACTTTCTATAATCGTTTACTTCGGAAATGTCCGGTAATAAGCAAAATTAAGAAAGTGGCCAATATCTCAAATACCATGACACCTTGTATAAAGGTATATATAGCTAAATATGTTCCAAATGACCTCCTCTTTCACCCCTTGCAAACTTTCTATCGACCTACCAAACACCCTGTATATGAAAATGAGACAGATGAAGAAGAAATATTTGGTATAACCGAAGCTTCAAGTGACAGTAATGAAAGTTATTATCCTGATAGCATTGAAAGGAGTGCAGAAGAAGTATCAGAAATAGAAATTACCAGGGATATTTTTGTTACAACGAACGTCGCTAATTTTAATTTTAATGTGAATTTATCAGGAGTGAAAATTGATTTTTCGGAAGATATGATACCTGTTGATGTTTTTAAAACGCTTTGAAACGAGGATGTCATGAATTTGATTTTAAATTCCTCTAACAGTAATGGGAACATACTTGTGACACAGGATTTACCCTCTCCAAAATATAGTAGAAAAAATCGTTGGAAAATCCTCGATGCTACAGAATTGTGGAAATTTTTGGGTCTTTGTCTTTTGCAAGGACAAGTGAAATTTCCTTCAATAAGACGAATGTTTTCTTATGACCCACTCTATTATCATCCTGTTTTTTCTGCAACAATGTCGAGAAGGCGATTCGAACAAAGGGTATAGCAGGATAAAATGGTCAAAAGTGCCCTTGAACCGATTTTACCTGGCAATGCACCATTCGATAACTTACCGAAAGAAAACATCGTACACCAACCGGGAGGGTAGTCACAGGGTAAATTCGAATTATCGGTTTTTACCACATTTTTCCTATTTAACGGTATGCAAATATTCTAAGAAAATTCTAGAATATTGTAGACATGGTTGTTTATGGTTGTAATTTTTTTCAGATTTTTTCGTTGCAAATCCTAAGTGCAAAAAATCAAAAACGCAAAAAAATGTCGAAAAATGCAGATTTCGGGTTGAAGTTTTCGAGCGACTAGATTTTTACTTTTACAGTAGGTAGATATTAGTATGTCTATTGTCCTCAATTTTTTTTCAGATTTTTCGAAAGGGTGCGCCGTAGTTAAAAAAAATAAAAAACCGACATTTTCGAGATATTTCGCACAAAAACCTGATGAATACTTTTAATTTTTGCATTTCCTCGATACAGTTAGTGTATTGTGTGATTTTTAATGTCTGTGCATTCGACAGAGTAATGTACGAATTAAGAGAATTAAGTTAATTTAATTAATTGAAAGTGTATACGCACCTTATCTTCTAAAGTATTAGTTTCTAAAGTATTATTACTCAACGTCGTCGCTAGCGTTACGGTTAAGGCATCTAACTGCGGAACCGCTGGAAACTTTTTGTCGTAGGTTCACGCCCCATAAAGGTCCAATTTTTTTTTCGTGAAATAAATTTTTTTTTTAATTACTATTTACGTGACAATAAACGATATTCACATAAAAATGTTTCAAAAATATGTTAAAAATAGTTTATCACAAAGTGAACATAAAAGTAATTTTGGAGCGTCATCGGTTTTCTGGCCATGTATTGTTCTAGCTACGGATAGTTTCTAATATTTTGTCAATGGAATAGATGTGTTATTGGTTTATGATAGATATGGAAAAAAATATATACTTTACTTTAAATCCGTTCATCCACGACATAGTTGGGTGCATGCGTACTCGAAGAAAATTTAAAGTCGATTTTCTCGAAAACGAAGCCTGGAATGAAAAGAATTTATTCCATATTTTCGACTTATTTTCTCGTGTAGAATCACCCCCTCCATGGTTGTACCATCAATACTGGGACACCCCGTATTTTATTATACCAATATTATTTTACAATGTACTATTAAAAATTATATAAAAATGTTATAAATTTGATGAAAACTCTAATATTTTGTGTGGCCTCCTTTTGCCTTAATGGTAGCGTTGATTCTTCCGGTACAACTTTCGTATAATTTTTTAATGATTTGAATTGGAATTTTTT